AACGCCCTACTGCTATGCTATTTAAAATAAATTAAGGCATACAAAAAAAATTTTTTTAAGAAAAACAAACATTTCTTTCTAAAAACATGATTATAGCCTTAATTTGTTAAGCTCAAATTTTCACTTTAGTAGATTTTCTTATAGACAACTGAGGCCTGGAAAAAATGTTAATTGTTAACATGACTTTAGGAACACAAAATGAAATTTTATGGCTTGGTTTTAAAAGAAACCTATGACGTTTGGTGGATATTAGTCTATAAAAATGGTGTCTCTGAATGCTTTGAGAAAGGCTTTTATTTGGCTCTTTGAACCATTGCCCATCCATAGAATGTTTAATATCCTCTCTTCCTCACCTCTTCTACTGTAAAGCTCGTTAGATTTTATATACTGGAACATAGAGCACACAATTTAGGGGAAACCTCTGCTTTTACCAATTGCCTCTGACCATAATTCAGTCATCCTAAATGTTCATCTTACACTGATTGAAAAGTGACATTAAGATTATAAATAATTCAGCAAATGGTCTTGCTCTGATTAGTATTTCCAAATAGTATTTTATCTCTTCCCAGCCCCCTCTTCATCTTCAGAGAGTACAGTTGGTTCCATTTGAAATCTATGATTTCTGGCATATCTGGGGTAAGGTTATACTAGGAATTTACCAGACCTGTCAGTCTCTAACTTTCTTCCATATTTCATTATATCATTCTGGTTATAATTAGTTGTCTGGTAAAATTAAGAACAGTCTATTTCAGTGAATGCTCATGTGAACATTTAACAACTTTTTGTTAGGATGACAGCTTAGCGACAGAGAGAATAAACCAGAAATGGAGAGTCGCTGTAGTAACCTTGGTTAACACAATATTGCCAGCTCCCTGGAAAAATTCTAAGATTTCTGCCTTTCTCTTTTGTGTTATTAATCACCAAGCACATATTTCTTGTCAGGAGACGAGCATCAGTTTGATAGCATTCCTGCCTCAACTAGCATGTTTTGAACTGACCTGTCTTCATTGCAGTGGCTCCCTGGAAATTTTACCGCTGATGAGCATTGATTCAGCTGAATGCTTTGACATTCAGCTTGTCAGTGAAAGCTATTTTAATCATTAAGATGCAGCTCCCTTCCAAGATTGCAAACTGTTGCTGCTCATACACAATATTCTGTCATTTGATTGCAGCAGAGAAGAAAAGAACCTGAATGGTTGGTTGCTATTACTATAGAATGTATTAAGATCCAAGATTTATAGAGTACTTAACTACGTGGAAGGTACTATGAAACGCTATTTATAGGGATTGCTTCTTTTTAATCCTTACTGTAATAGAGACTCCGAACCTCAGTTTGCATCCCTGTCCTCCCTTTATTAATGGTATGGCAGCAGTTCTCATCTATAAAATGGTCTGGAAGAAACAATTACTAATATTATTGATAACTGTACCTACAACAACATGAAATGGGACAATAAACAATTCTTAGAATAGTACTTGTGGGGCCCATTGGATTGTTCAATGGTTTGGAAAACCTGTCTTGGAAAGATCGAGAGTTCAGTCCCTGGTGCAGCCACATGCACTGAGTATGGTCCTGATAACTCTGCTCTCTGTGCTTGGAAAGTGCTGTCTTGTGATCCCTTGTGTCGCAAGTGATTTCTGCCCAATGTGGGAAGTCCGGTAAGCCTGGGAGAACACTACCTAAAAGTGACACGCAAGCACCATGGTTAGGAACTGTGGCGTGCACGTGTGTGTGTGTGTGTGTGTGTGTGTGTGTCCAGGAATAGAAGCACTGCAAGTATAAGAACAATATTACATTAATGTATTTTAAAAAAAAAAATCTTAATTTACATGCAAATTTGGATTGGAACTCCCCAGGGTTTTCAGACACATGTAAACTTGACAACACTGCTCTCAAGCCATTAATCTTTAATTTTAGATTTTTGTGCTGACTTTATTAGACCAAGTGAATAAGCCACTATGAATCCTTCTCGTTGCCAAACGTCAAGGCTTCCTTTAACATTCCTGAGCTAATGAAGTCACTTGTGCTTTACAGTTTAAGTTCAGCAGTAATAGATACACATAAAACACAGTGCATTTGTTTCCTGGCACACACTGGGATTTACTCAAGGTTTACTCGTGGCTCAGGGAACACTCAGGTAGAACCTGGGGACCATGTGCTGTGCTGGAGATCAAATTGGACTCGACCGTGTGCAAGGCAAATAGTGACCTAGCCCTGTTATCTCTCTCCAGCTCCTTAAGCCTTTTAAAAACTACTTTAAGTGACAGAATTAGTTTGTATTAGGAGGTACAGTAATAGTTTTGTTCTTTGAGTTTTCGTGGCAGTTTTCACATATTAAGAGAATAAACAATAGCAAAACAATAGCAAAATGAGGCAGAGTGGAAGAGGGAGGGAAAAAGTAGCAAAAATGAACCTCCCAAGTACCCATTACTAATATTCAACAATTATATGTAGCCATTCTTTAGATTTTGGACATTCTTCATTCTTGGGGGGAGGGAGAAGGTTAGGCCATATGTTGTGCTGGGGACGACTCCCATTTTAGTGCTTCCTGATTGCTTCTGGCAGTGCTCTGGGGTCATGTGATGTTGGTAATCAAGCCCTGGACCTCACATATACAAGGCAAGTGGTCTTCCTCTGAACAAATCCCAGTCCTAACTGTAGTATTTTAGAGTAAATTATGAAAGGCATGTTATTTCACCCACCTCTAAAATGTAAAGCTTTACAAAGCTTTCTAATCTTATCTAACAAAATAATATCTAACAGTTCATTAATAATTACAGATTATGTTCAAATTCTGCCTAGTTGTCTTTAAAATGTTTCATTTCAATCAGAATCCAAGCAATGCCCATGATGAATTGCATTTAAGCTAATGTATCTCCAATGCTTGTCTTAAGAGATAAATTCCTCCTCCCCATTTTCAATAGAAATATTTGGGGATACCAGACCATTTTTTTTTAATATTCTGTCATTCTTAATTTGCTGAGCCACGATCTTTTTTTGTTTTTAGGTCACACCTTGCAGTGCTCGGAGTCACTTCTACCCGCAGGGAACCATATTGTGATGCCAGAGATTCAACCAATGAATGCAAGGCAAGTGCCGTATCTGCTTGCCTCCTGTATTATCTCTCTGACTCCTGTCAATCTCTCTCTTACACACACACAAACACACACACACACACACACACACACACACACACACTTAGTTAGAATTATAGCTAAAAGTCTAGAGTCTTGTTTGCATTCAAGATGTATTTCATACACACTTGTAATTTTCTTTTAGCAGAATGACATAGGTAGAAATGTCTGCCAAGCACCATGAGGTACATTAACATTTGTCTCCCTTCTAGTAACTTTATTTCTTAATTTATTTTTATTTACTTGGATTTGGGGACAACACCCAGCAGTGCTCAAGGCTTACTCCTGGCTCTGCGTTCAGAGGTCAGTCCAAGTGAGCCAGTGGGGACCACAACATACCCGGGATTGAAGCTGGGCCTGCTGCACATGGGAAGCAAGTGCCTTACATGCACTATTATCACTCCAGCCCGCTTCTAGTGACTTTAATCTGGACCAGGTACTGCAAGTGTGGCAAAGCTGATCGGAGCTCCGATTTCCTCTTCAACAGGATCATCAACTGATGGCAGCTGACGGAGATCAAGCCTCCCATTAAAAAGTACAAAATGGGAGCTGGAGCGATAGCACAGTGAGTAGAGAGTTTGCCTTGCAAGGAGCCGACCAGGGTTCAATTCCCAGCATCCTATATGGTCCCCTGAGCACCGCCAGGAATAATTCCTGAGTGCATGAGCCAGGAACTAACCCTGTGCACCACCAAGTGTGACCCATAAAGTAAAAAAAAGGTACAAAATGGGGGTATGGAGCGGGTAAGTCACTAGCCTTACAGCAAGGTGCCCAGGTTCAACCCTCTGGCACCACATATGGTACCCCCAGGCTGCCTGGAGTGATCCTGGAGCACAGGACAGGAGTAAGCCCTGAGTATTGACCGCCAGGTGTGACATGAAGAGGGAAAAGGGAAAAAAAAAAAAGAATTGCAAAATGATAAGTGCCTGCTGTTGCATGCTGTACTATCACTGAGGCTTGCTTCTAGCGACTTTAATCTGGACCAGGTACTGCAAGGGAGGCCAGGCTGACCCATTATTCCCGTGCTCCTATTTCCTCTTCAACAGTATCAACTGATGGCAGCGGACTACGTCGAGCCTTCCATTAAGAAGGGGGGTATGCAGCAATACAGCAAGTAATGAACTAACCAGCCTTACAGGAAGCCAACCCAGGTTCAGCCCCACCGTGGCACCACATACCCGTACCCTTAGGCTGCCAGGAGTGACACAGGAGCACAGGGCCAGGAGTAAGCCCTGAGTACTGACCGCCAGGTATGACCCAAAAGAGAGAAATAAAAATAAATAAAGAGGAGCTGGAGCCACAGCACAGCCGGTAGGGCACTTTGCCTTGCATGCTGCGACCCGGTTTCGACACCCAGCATCCCATATGTTCCCCGTGAGCACCGCCAGGAGTAATTCCTGAGTGCAGAGCCAGGAGCAACCCCTGTGCCTCATGGGCTGTGACCCCAAAAGCAAAAAAAAAAAAAAACAAACAAACAAACAAACAAAAAAAACCCAAAATGAAAAAATAAAGAATTGCACACTGATGCGTGCCGAATTCTTAAGATCCTTTCTGCACAACCACGATGTCAATAAAAGGGCCTTTCTTTCCCTCAACGGTGGTGCAAATACCCCAACATCCAATCCACCCCGAAGCAGGGAGGAGATTCGAGTGCAATGATTTTGGGGTGGTGGGGAGCGGGGAGAGACTTCCATCTCCTCGCAGATGGGGAATTCCCGCACTGTGCACGCTACACTCCCAAGCCAAGCCACGAGGGACGAGCCTGACCTCCCCAACCCGGCTCCGGGGCTCCCACGTGCCCGGGGCGGGGCGGGGCGGGGCCGGTGCCATCCGGGGTCGGTCGCGGGGATACCTGGGGCGGGCTCTTAGGAGGTGCCATCCCGGTCGCAGCCGCCGCCACCGCCGCCGGTGCTCCCGGGGGCGCTGCTCGCTTCCTCCTTGCCGTCACCCCCGCCGGCGCCGCCGGCCTCCGAGCAGCCGCCCTTCTCCTTGGGCTCCAGCTGCCGCCGCCGCCGCAGCAGCTCGTCCGCCATGGGCGACAGGTCCCGGCGCATGGCGAAGGCGTCCTCGCCGTCCGCATAGTACTTGGGCTCCACCTCGCTGACCTGGAAGTTGAGCGTGTTGGCGTAGAGGTGCAGCGCCGCCCGGTTGCTCTTGCGCACGTGCAGGGACACGTACTTGGCGCCGAAGTTCTCGATCATGGCCCGCGAGGCCTGGTCCATGAGCTTCTGGGCCAGGCCGAGGCGGCGGTGCGAGCGCTTGACGGCCAGCGAGGTGATGTGTCCGTGGGGGGCGTCCTCGGGGTCCTCCTCCATCTTGGCCAGCACGTAGCCCACGATCTGGCCGCCCTCGTCCTCGGCGATGTAGGAGAGCTGCGGCCACGACAGGCCGTGGTAGAAGTAGTACTTCATCTGGTAGTTCTCGGGCAGGCACAGCAGGTTGCAGTGCTGCATGTTCATCAGGTCGTCGGGACGCGCGTTGCGGATGTTCATGATGGCGGCGGCCGCGGCGGCGGCGGCGGTGCTGGTGGCGGTGCCGGTGGTGGGGGTGGCGGCCCGAGGTGCGGCGCGGCCTGAGGCACAGCGGAGAGGCGGGGCCTCAGCACCCCGGACCCGGACCCGGACCCGGAGCCCGACGGCGCTCTCGGCGGGAACGCGGCAGCTGCGGCAGGTGGCGGGAAGCAGGAGGCCCGGGAGGCTGAGGGACGCGGAGCCGTGCGTCACTCCCGGAAGTGCGTCACCACGTCGCAGCCAATGAGCGTCAGGCTTCATTGTGCGCCTGCGCGTGCCGCCCGGTGGGCGGGGGATGAGCAGCCCTGGAGGAGCGCTTGCGCGTGGTGGCCTCTCGGGTGTAGATCTCGACCTGCAGGCCGGAATTCATTTAACATCATTCCTTTTTTTTTTTTTTTTTTTTTTTTTTTTGCCTTTTTGGATCACACCCAGCGGTGCTCAGAGGCTACTCCTGGCTTTGCACTCAGCAATTACTCCCGGCGGGAGTAATTACTAGGGGATCATATGGCATGCTGGGATTCGAACCCAGGTCGGCCGCGTGAAAGGCAAACGCCCTACCCGCTGTGCTGTCATCACTCCAGCGCCAAACGTCATTCCTTTTGCTTTCCTGCTTTAGCGTCTGCGGTGGGCACCTTGGCGTAAAGCTTCATGGACGAAATGAACCCAGGGTGATGGAGACTGCCACTGAGAACCCGATCCTGGCGTCTTAGCCAGGAGGCGCCACTCGCAGGGCCACGTCCTCCAGACCCCCTCCAGTCTCAGCTGGGAATGTCCCTTGGCCACGGAGATGGGGTCGTTCCAAGGGCATGTGGTGTCCTGTCTTTGCTTTTGATTTTTCACTGGTATTGGAGACGGTGTGCTCTTCCTTCCCTGTTGAATGGGGCATTGCCCAAATACGTCATCATACATTCGACTGTTGATGAGCACGTTTTAGTTGCAGAATAATGCGGCTTGATGCTCTGAAACATGCCTCTAAGAGAAAATGCATCCTTTACCAAGGATTGGAATTATACACTATTAAAACACTGGATAATAAGTATTGGAATTAGAAGATGTCATGGTGTTCAACTTTTATAAGTACCAAGCAGTTTTTCTGAAGTGGTTTTGAGAAACTCCTTAATCTTTTTCAATTCGGGTGTTTTGCTTTGGTTCGGGTTTTGTGCGACAGTCTGTGGTGCCTAGGATTTACTTGGGCAGTATGCACAGGGGTCACTTTGGGAGGGCCTTCAAGGACCATGTTGGGTGCTGGGGATTGAACAGAGCTGACTGTATGCAAGGCAACTAGTGCCTTACCCACTGTACTATCTTCTGTGCTGTACAATTTAGCCTCCCCCTCCCCCCAATTTTCTATCACGCCTAACAAGAAATTCAAGGCAGCTTTGTTTTAAAATAGTATTTTAGAAAACTTGGCAGGTTACCAGATGTTACCTGCCTACACGGCAGAGTCTGGCAAACTCCCCGTGGCTTACCCAATATGCCAAATACCTGTAACAATGATGGATCTCATTCTCCTAATCCTGACAGAGCCTTGAATATGGCATTTTTTAAAATCGCAGGGCTAGGACAAATAGATGTTACTGGGGTCTGCTTGAGGCAATTGATGAACAATAGGATGATCGTGGTCGTGATTTTAGAAAACTTATTAAGGAAGCAGGGTGGGGTACAGTGGTTCTACTTGGGCTTGGTTCCTGGCACCACACCATCCCCTGAACAGCACTTGCAATAGCTCGGGTAACTCCAGTATCACAGAACCTGAGCAGCATGTTACCCTCTGGACCTTGCATTGAGCCACTGGTCTGGTTGTTAGAGAATCACTAGTGAGGCTCCCCAGGCTTTCTGAACTCCACTTGGGAGCCCTATGACCCCACCCCCTCCCACAAAACAGTTTTCAGGGCTTGGCACGTGACTCAAAGGGCTCCGGTACCAGCCCAGTACTGCATGATATGCTTGACTCAGGGCCCTGTCTCCCCTGAGCACAAGTAGGTGTTCATCCCCAGCAGAGAATTCAGCCCATTTTATGTGGGTATGTGAATGGGCGTGTAACAGTGATCCTTTATTTTGCATTTCCTTAATGGCTAGAGAAGTGAAGCTTTTGTTTTGTTTATGTTTGGGGACCACACCTTGCGGTGCTCAGGTCTTACTCCTGGCTCTGCACTTAGGGGCTAGGCTGGAGATTCTCTGGAGACCATATGCTATGCAGGGGATTGAACCCAGATTGGCCTCATGCAAGACAACCACTTTCTCTGCTGTAACTCTCTCCTGCCCTTGGCAACTTTTTAAATGCTAATTAGCCATTCTGTGTTCAATTGTGATGTGTTGTTACCGTGGAATTTGGATGGTTTTGTTGTTCTGAAATCAAAAGAAAAACATTTGTGTGGGGAAAGTACAGCATGCAGGATGCTTACTTGCTGTGCCACAGACCTGGTTTTCACTCCCAGCACCACATATGGTACCCCGTCCCCACAACCCCACCAGGAGTGATCCCTATGCATAGCCTGGCGTGGATCAAAACAAACAAGCAAACAAAAAGAGCTTTGGGGGGGGGGGGGAATATGAAACTTTTATCCCTTTTTTATTTATCCAGCTTGCCAGATTTACATTTATGCCATTGATTGATTTGTCAGTCTTATGGGTGGTTTTTGACACCGAGTATGAATTTTAATTTGGCTGGCTGTCCACGCAAGGCAAATGTTTTACCCACAATTCTCACTCTCTGTTCAGCCCAAGACAGTGAGTCTTTTGTGACTTGAAAGGCCAAGAGGACTATTTCATGGGAGGAAGCATGGTACCAAGGTGGAAGGGGAGTGCAGTTAGGACCGGAAAGGAACTACTGTGATAATAATAGTTGGAAATGATCACTCTGGACAGGAACTGAGTGCTTAAAGGAGGTAATGTGATATGCATGGTACCCTTTCATTACCTGTGTTGCAAACCACAGTGCCACAGTCAAACCAGAGGGCCAGACTATTGCAAACCACAGAAAAAGGAGAGAGACAGAGATGGAGAGAGACCGAGAGAGATCAGAGAGAGACAGACAGAGAGAAGTGTCTGCCTTAGAGGCAAGCTGAGGGGGTGGGAGGGAAACTAGAGACATTGGTGGTGGAAAATCTACACGGGTGAACATGAAGGGAAAGGTGTTGGAATCTTGTATGACAGAAACTTGATCACGAACAGCTTTGTAACTGTGTATCATGGTGATTCAATTAATTTTTTTAAATCCTTTTTATATTATACCTGAACACAGAGATAGGAATATCTGCTTTTAGATAATACATGTCTGGAAGCATAATCCAGAAACATAATCTATATAAATGAATTGGTTAATTCATTTATAGTTATTTTCTTCTTTAAAAAGCATGATCTAACAAAATTTGAGTATAATATAATATCCTTTTATAGGAAAACTGTGTCTTTACTGAACTGCTTTAAATACATGCTTGAGATGGGCCAGGTGTGACAAAGTAGACCAACTAAGAAGAACTCTTGTAAATTATTTCTACATAATTTGTACTTTCATCTCTTTAGTCTACTTTTACCACATCTTCAGCCTTCCAAACATGAAAAGGAAGATCCTTGGGGCCATACAAATTTGGGAAGAGACATCCTATTTGTAAGTTTTAAATGTTTGCTTCTGCTTAACTGTGAACCTTATGCCTATTTTTTGAGAAAGGCCAGAACATTTCCAGAGGCAATGCATCTTTGGATTAAAAGTGCATACAATATGCTATGTTAGCAAAAGGTAGCTATTGTATGCCAAGCAAGGCATTTGTGAATTTTGTGTTTTAGGATCCTGAGTCTGATTTTGTTCAGGAAATGGCTTTCATCCCTCTCAGTATGCATACATAATGTCTCAAGTAATGAATATGAGACAGGCACTATCCTGCATATTTTGGGCTCTTTGTAACACAAAAGTCTTGAACCGTTGTATTATTTATATATCGTCCAGTAGCTAGTAGATATACTTATCCATCAAATATAAGTGAGTATACTTACCTACACCCTGATGAAGTATAGAGTTTATAGTAAACAAATTTGGGAGAACTAATGCGCTCTTTCACTACAGCAAGGAACTTGGGTCAGTGAAAATTACTGAAATGCTTAATCTACTAGGAAAAAAATAGAACAAATTCCCCAGTCTTAAAATATTCAATAATGTGTAAGAAGCTGGATAGTTTCAGGACAGTAATGGTAAGAACAAGGAAAAGGTAACAATTTAATAAAGTAGAATTAAAGTCTTTAAAATTCTGACTGCTTTAAAGCTTTAGGATTCTGGGGTCAAGGATGAGACTTAGCAGCAGAATGGGTGTCTTGCATGCATAAGACCTGGATTTGATTCCTGGCACCACTAAAATGAATAAATGAGTGAATGAACAAAGACTGAGTCTTTAAAATTATGACCTACATCTACTAAGTTACATGGCCTTACCAAATGAATGGAAATGGAATGAATTATTTTTAAGCATTTTCTTGATAACTCAGCATTATGATTGATCCAGAAAGTACCAAGTGAGCACTGTAGCACTGTCCTCCTGTTGTTCATTGATTTGCTTGAGCGAGCCCAGTAACGTCTCCATTGTGAGACTTCTTGTTACTGTGTTTGGCATATTGAATACGTCACGGGGAGATTGCCAGGCTTTGTCGTGTGGGTGAGATACTTTCAGTAGCTTGCTGAGCTCTCCAATAGGGGCAGAGGAATCGAACCTGGGTCAGCCAGGTCAGCCACATGCAATGCAAACAGCCTACTGCTGTGCTATCGCTCCAGCCCAAGTGAGCAATCCCTCTAAATATCATTGTTTTATGGGTTAAGAGTTTGGGAAGTCTTTGGTGAGACAGCATTCACTTTGATTTATTTAAAACTGTTTTCCACGCATAATTCACATATATCATTGGTTTGGTTCTAGATCCCTGATATAAAGTATTTTAAGAAAGCAAAAAATAATAATTAAAATAATAATCATTAAACATAATTATTATATTAATTAAATAATAATTTTAAAAATCATTTCTATGTAGCCGTTACCCTCTTCTCCCTAGAAAAATGAATTTCTTAACTTTTTGTCAGATACTCTCAATAATATCTCTCTACAACTTTGTGTATCACTTTATTCTTAAA